TTCATTATTTACAGGTAAGAAAAACATCTTTATATAATCTAGCTTGTCAGTAGGATATTTAAAAATATTAGACTGGGGTGGAATGCTCTCTATTAAACTTTGTGGTCTTATTGTGAAAGCAAGCTCTTGTGCTGAGTACAAAACATTTCCCAGGGATAAATTGATTCTGATGATGCTTTTATTAATGGAAAGGCCTCCTGAGGTCCAAACCAGCCATGCTGTCAGTAAAACCCAGCTTATATACCTGTGCGAGTTACATGAGTATTTTGATACATTTTCATTTTACAAAAACATTCATCAAAAGGTTTTAGTTTTCTTCTGGCAAAGAGTGAAAACAGATTTCAGAAGCTGCTGTAAAACAGAATTGTTGTCTGAGATCGGCTCTAAATATTGTGATGGTTGTTCTCTTGATTAGAAGGAAATGATCAAGTGCATTTTTCTGGTAAAAATGCTTTGATTTTTTTTTTTTTGAATCTGCTTTGTGTAAATGCTTTTTGTGCAAAGTGAAATCTTCCTAGATGATTCCGATCTCAAGTTTTTTTTATTTTTTAGCGTATTTCACATGCATGAAAATGTCCCTTTTCTTTATGAATCACTGCAACAATAGGAAGCATCGTATAGGCAATGAGAACTTGTGTTCTAGTTCTTGTTTGTAACCCAATGACTTTGGGAATCTCTGTGAATTTGAGAGCCTTTTCTCACTGTAAATGTTGATGCCCTTGAAGGAAAGAGAGTTATGGAAGAGCAAAGTGTTAGTGGTATCTTTAAAGTTGAACTGTTGGGAAGCATCTTTTAAGAGTGTGAAGTCATCATGAGTGAATCTGTGATTAGTAGCTAAAAATACTGTTTGTCAAACTGGTGTGAGCAATGGAAAGTGGGAAGAAATGTTGAATAAATCCATATTTTTTTTCAACAACAAAGAAGATTAAACGCTTACAAATTGAAAGGTGCAGTAGTTAAAAAAGCTCCAAATATGCTTTTGTAAGGAGCTTCAGAAGTGAAAATGAAAGGTGACACTTTCAAATATCTAGATGATAAAGGAGCTTGAGGCTCCTTTTTAAAAGCATTGTAGACACAAAGACGACTATGTACCTCTGAAACTGGTGCCTTTGATCACATTTGAAAGTGTGACTTGTGCTTCTAAGTCACTTTAGCACTTTTGAAAACTTTCTCCTATAGCTCATGTTGTGCAGATACTGTCAAGTCATTTCATGAGAAGATCCTGCTGCTCTTCTGTCCCATGCTCCCCATACATCTTTAATCTTTTATTTTGCTAGGCAGAATTTCCCCTCTAGACGGAGTATCTGCTGGTACTGCTGCTACAGGGGACCATTACTTTAAGTATGTTGTGCTTGACTGCCTAAACCACTTTTCAAAAACATTTCAAGAGAGCTGATTATTTTTCCCTCAGCTGTGGACTGGTTTTTATTCTCATGTGAAAAGCTGCTGTTACAGCAGTGGTCCCCTCCCTATGGACATAAGACCATTTAGCACTGTTCACTGCCAAAGGAGGCGCTGTTGCCACAGCACAGGTTGGCAGAAGGAGCAGCGTGTAACGCTGCCATCTTGCACAGTGTTGCAGGGCAGGAAGCAGGTGCCTTTTGGTTTCAGTCCTACAAATGCCGCTTATGCAGAGACCTGCTGACTGAGTGAGTAAAGATTGGGACCTTCCATGCTGATGCACTTAAATTTGTGACCTGTATCAGCAGTAAAACTGTGTCAGTGTTTCTTCAAACCTAATACAGGAATAGTTTGATTACAAAGCCACGCAACTGACTAGAAGTGATGTTTAGGCTTTCCTTGATATTTTTATTCCATAAATCTTTTAATAATTTTGTTTGTCTGTACTTTGTTCTAGGACAGATACAACAAGAATTGATTACTCCATACCATCAAGGGAAAATTGGGCTTTGCCGTATTTTGCATGTCAAGTAGCAGCTCTCACAGGCTATTTAAAAAAAAACCTAAATTGTTCTGCTGAGGTAACAACAAAATTAATTTTATAATACAGAGTACCTGGTAGAACTGTACCTTAGAGTAGTTACATCTTTGTCACTGTTTTGTCCTAGCAGGCAGAAAACGCTAGATGTTCTGTTTGTTCTTTTCACACCGACCACTTCGGTTTTACTGGGGCATGTGCAGTTTTTGCCTGTAATGTTAAGGGTATTGTGCCCTGCCTGGTTACACCCCTATGAGCATTTAGAGAGAACAGTGTGGTAATGAGCTGTGTGGTGTCTTTTTAAGATAAAGTAATACAGAATTTTCCTCAACATATAGACAAATTTGTTGCTTTCCCTTTTGCCTGGAGAAGATGGTGGCAGCTTCCTCTCTCTGTCAAAGGTGTTTCTTCTGATTGGCTTTAAATGTTTTTGAGTGTGTTAGTAACGACTTTCTTCCCTCTGAGAAAATGTTAAATACGTCTGAATTCAGTATTTAAAATAATTCCTAAAATAACATATTTCTACGAATTTCTGTTTTAATGACTTCTCTGTTATTTAGTAATGGAGTTGCATAATGATGAAAGTAATGCTTTCTTGTTCTTTTTTTCTCTAGAAGTTTTGTTACCTTTTGGTGAGCGCTTCAACATATACCTTCGTGATGATGTGGGAGTACAGTCATTATCTCCTGTTTATCCAGGCTGTTTCTCTTTTTCTGCTAGACAGCTTTGCCCTAGCACAGACAGAGAAGGTATTAGAACTCTGACATTAGAACTTTCTAATAATTGGAGAAGTAAATAAAGCCTCACTGGTGCCTGCCGTGCATACTTCTGAGGAGCTGCAAAGAGCATAGATTGAGCAGTGGCTTGAACGTCTTGCAATATGGGCCCGCCTGAAGTGCATTGTCGTGTCCATCAGGAGAGTAAAATGGCTTTAAACTTAATTTGGGGCTGTTTTCTTAACAAGAGTCTGAAACTAAGCAAAACTCCAAGGCTTAAAAACATTCTTCAGGAGCTGAAAGAGTGGTGAATAATTTTCAGCCATGCATCCTTTGCCCTGGCTGCCTCTCCTTTCCCTTTCCTCCCTATTCACAGCAGAGTGGAGGTGGCTCAAAAGCTGCACCACTGGCTTTGTGCTATTAAGTGGCTCATTTTCACCCTGGATAGTTCACCCTATACTGATTTAGTCAACAAATAGGGTAGCCGGATGCTGTAGACAAGATGATGTTTCAGTGCAAGGAAACGTTTGAATTTTTTCTGCAAAATGGTTCTTAGGAATGTTGTAACAATAAGACACTTTTACGCAGCCTGTCCCTATGATATACATGCTCCTTGGTACATTTGTGCCTTCTAGGTTTATTATATGAAACTTCAGTTTCAGACTGCGTGCAGTAGGAATTGGTGACCTCTTGTTTCATTGGCTTTCCTTCTATCCGTCAGTAGTGGGAAATATTTGAACTGTTTAAGTCCAAAAGAGGCCCTTTAAAACGTAAGCGGGCAGGTGTGTGTTTCAGTGAAAGTCCAAAGAATCAAGTATCAGGATTTCCAAGATCTGCTTATCAATGAGTAAATAACAGAGCGTGAGTTTCAGTAAATGTGCGTTTATCCTTGAGATAGGTTACTACTGTAAACATGCACTTTACCTGGCCCCACAACAACTTGTCCGTTTAACCTATTTCACAGAAACCGTGTGCGTTCATAGTGTTGCACTGTGGTTACTGCTTCATGCAGCACTGCATCACAGTAAGGTGTTACAGAACGGAGAGACCACGTAAAATACAGCTTCTTTTTGCATGTTCGCAGGCTTCCAGTGAAGTAGTGGTACGCTAGCTACGCAGGTTGACCAAGGTGATTTTGATGTGAAGTACTTTTCAGAGCCAAATGGTGCCCTAACACATTCATGAGTTGGAAGATAGAAATTTAGCTGGGCTGATTAACAGAGGAATGAAAGGAATTATCTACCGCTCTAGAAAGCGATACATATACACTGTAACTTTATTTTATTTTCCTCAACAGGTGCATGAAGTATACAAAATCTACTTGTTTTCTCTCTTCTTGGGGTACCTCTTGCAGTTTGAAAATTCAGCCTTGCTGGTGTCACCATTACTAAGTCTTGTAGCAGCTTTAATGCTCTCTAAATGCCTTCAGGTAACTAGGCTGTCCTCTAACTCTGAGTGTAGTTTTTGCTGTTTACACTGAACTCCAAATGATACAGAATTTTGAACATATTTTTGCAGATGAATATGAAAAAAGGTACATTTATGTCAAGATTGCTGAAAATAATGTACGTTTACTTGGTACTTACAATAACAGTGACACTAAACTTCTTACTAAAGGTAAGATTCCTCAGTGGAAAGAGCGATACTAATTTAAGTCATATTCTAAATGTTAGGCTGCAGTTAATCTTGGAGAAATCTTTACAAGTTTTACTTATCTTATTGTTCTGACGTTTCATATTTTATAGCTTAATTCATTGGAAATTGGAGGATTAAAGATTGAGTCATTTTGTATCTATGTATTTATAAAACATCTATATCTCTAGCAACTCAGCAGCTGTTTTTTGTTGGGATTTTGTTTTTTTTTTCTCTGAAATTCTAACAGAAAAAATTGGGGTGGCGACTAAAGCATGATATAGAAATACTCTGTTAATCACAGTTTAGCTATTTCATAAATTTGATTTTTGTTATAGCTTGGATGGCCTCTACAAATTGGGCTGAACATTAAAACAATAATCTTGTGCATGGAAAAGAGCTAGTAGCCAGGAACAGGTATGAGTTGTCTCAGGGTAGATGTTAACTTTCAATTAAATTCCAACTAGAACACGGGAACAGAAACCGTCGCTTAGTGTGGGAGTCGCTATGAGCTGAGGGTTACACAATGGGATTTTAGCGTAGTCTTGCATTTCAATTAGCAACTCTGTCGTTCTGGTCCTAGCCTTTTACATAATTTATTATGCTTTTCTTCCATATCTCAAGCTCACTTTGATTGTGCTAATTAACACCATTAACTTTAAAATAAAAAACATAGTGAACCCTAAAAAGTGTATGAGAGAATGCTCAGGTCTGATTCTTTTCTTGTGCCATTCAGATTGGCTAACCGTGCTGTAACTCCAGGAAAATAAAACCTAACGTTGAAAAATATACGAGCTAAATTATGTAGACAGTACATAGAACTTTTGACTGCTCAGAGAATTAATTATGTGAAGATCTCAAATGCTCATAACTTTCGCTAGGCTGCAGTCCTATTGTTTAGTGGAGCCAAACACAATGTTCTTTGGCTTGCTTGAGGGTAAGTCTACGTCTATTTTTCATGATCCTTCGCACACCGCTCGGTAGTCTTTTGGCAACTTGTTGACAACTTTTCACTTGCCCTCTGGTTGGGGTATATCAGTGAAATGAAGGATGTGATATTTTCTAGGAAACTCTAAAGATAAATTTATTTAAGTGAAGTTTTACAGTACTGCATTGGTACCTTAGTTACCAGTCCAATCCAATTCACTAGTTTTAAATGAATCTTGATTAGGTGATTATTCTCTGCCATTTTGTAATCTGAACAAAGTAACTACGTGAAAGCTGTTTTCAGAACTCGATAAATTTTTCTCTGCTAAATTAATTTTCAGATGTTTGTTCCTCATAAAGAAAATGAGCACTTGCTGAAGTTCCTTGAAGTTAAACTTGGCTTAAACACGACTAAGTAAGTTTTAAAAGTTTTTACACCTTTTAAGGTATCCAGACTTCTGAAACTATTCTGCAAAGAGCAAAATTTCAGTAGCTTAAGAGAATGTTAAAGAGGAGTTAGGGTTACTTTTTGTTTGTCGTCTGGCTTTAAACTTTAATTAGAAACGATGCTTATACAGAGGCATCGTTTACTCTTAGGATTTGGTGGGGAGGACGTTCTAAGGCACCTCAGTGTTTCTTCTGCCTTGGCGTAAAAGCATCTCCGTTCTCGTTTTCTTTGTTGAAGTGCAAAGACCTTCTGTATCTTATCTAATGTTTCTAATAATACTTGAAAGTAAAGATAAGAGGAGAAAGGTAGTGGTACTAACTTCTTACACCCTGGAAAAGAAAAAGGGCTCTGAATAGAGTCATGAACTATCAGTAGTATGTCAAAAGAGAGGTTTTCTTAGTTATCTTGTAACAATGTCCCCTTCCAAAACCCTATGCCTTTTGGAAGAAATTAGGACAAAGGGCCACTCAAAAGTTGGAGGAACTTGTTAAGATTCTAAGAGAAAGCTTTTGCATCTGTAAGAGGCTGAAGGTTGGTCTACAAGAAGATACCATGGCTACAGTTTTTCTATAGAACTTCAAATGCAGTATTAGTAAGGACTGAGACAGCTCCTGGACCTAAGCCAACGACGGCAGTTCTGTGCAGAAACTGATATTCCGTTCTGTGAACTGCATCTGTCTCTTACAAAACTACTTCACGGCCTTCCAGGGAAGGCCGTGGAAAATGATGTCAAACAACTGAAACTGTCGAGAATTTCTAAAAGACCAGATGTAACGAGGTTGACCAAGACGCACTATGTAACACACATGAACGTTCTTAAAAGTTTTACAAGATCAGAAGGACTGCTTCTGGTCAGGATTTTGGTTTGCTCAACTACCAGGTATTATGAGATTTTTTTTTTCCCCTGAGACTTGCTACATGTTACTTTCCAGGCTGTGGAACTCTGCAGTGAAGCCAGTGATTGAGACAAACTGAGTGCTACTGCCTCTGGAGAATTGTGTAACTGTGTGTTGGAATTATGGTTTGCAGCACAAGAGCTTCGAGGCTAGTTTGGATGTGCTCAGCTGTTCATCCTTAAACTGGTTCTGCCTAGTTGAAAGGGGTTCAGTTCTCTAGTCTTCGTTTAGGGGAGAGGGATGGGGGAAAAAAAAGGAGGAAAGAAAATCAAAATAAAAACAAGAATAAGCTCACTGCATCACATGCTGCACCAGTTCCCATGGAGAATACAGATCAATAGTGCTTCTTGGTAGACTACATAATCTCTCTGCTCATTAATTGAGAAAGAAGAATGATTGATTGGGTTCAACTCCAGAGTTAGAATTTCAGCATTAAGGATTCCTTTCTTGGCAATGCCTTAGGCTTATGTCTGATCTCAGATGAATACTTTACCTTCTCCATCTCCCCCTTTGAAATGGGGACAAGCATACCTTCTTACCTTTATATCCCTCAAGTCTTAATCCACTGTGACAATAAAGTGCTTTGTGGTCCCCGTAATGGAATTATACAGGAGATTGGGTTTTTGTAATACAGAAAAACTGTAGTCTGATCTCTTCAGATCACAGGTTCTTTTTTGGAAGATAAGCTTTTGACAGTTACTTTAAGAAGCACTTGCAAAGCCATTTTGAGTTGTGAAAAACAGTTTTTAAAGGTGAATCTTGAAAAATGTCTTACGATATTAACAGGTTAAACTGGGATTGATTGTGTGCTTCCCCCCCCCCCCCCCCCAATTTATGTGGTACTGTTGCTGTTTTTTAATGGATTGTTTTTGCCTTACTAGGAATTTTACAATGAATTGGCTCCTTTGTCAAGAATCTCTTCAGGCACCCTCCCAAGACTTTTTTTTGCGGCTGACACAGTCATCCCTGTTGCCTTTCTATATTTTAGTATTAATTATCTGCCTTTTTTCTGTAACTCAGGTCATTTTTAGGAGAATTTGGTAAGTAATTTATTTGTACTGAGAAGTAAGTAGTTAAAAATAAGAAGATCATGAATGTATCATAAAAATAAGAGGATCATGAAGGAAGTGAATGGATATGTAATTCCTAGCTGAGGCCCCCAAAGTTTGTTGCCTTTTTGAGCTGCCAGGGCATCTTAGGAAGTGGAAAGGTCCAACTGAGGCTTCTACAGAAAATCCTTTAGTGAGGAGTCTTTTGAGCATCCCTCCTGTCTGGACACAGGATTGGTATTGTTTTCTTCAAAAGGTGCCATTTCTGCAGAGGTCCGGCTAATGGTTTTATGATATGTTTATGTCCCTTCCCATTACGAGGGAGAAAGATGTTTTATCTGTTTTCCCCTTCCAACAGCAAAGTCACCCGACTATTGCAAGAAGATTTGTTTCCCTGTTTTGTTTGTTTTCCAGTTTACGTATACTAGGAACGAGCAGGGTGGAGTTGAGAGGATTTCAAATTTCTGCTGCTTCTCAGTCTTTTTTTATCCCGTGTTTATTGTGATAAGGTTCATCAGCCTTTGCTGCTCTGAATAGAGCTAATCAGTAAAACTAGCTCAATTAGTTTTAGTTTCACAGTGGTTTACAGTTCTCGTGATAGAAGGGGTAGTGTAGCTATCTGTTTGCAGGCTCGGAATGGCAAGACTGTGTAGGTCTTAGCATAACTTAACTTGGAAACTTTAATGGCTGTGAAATTACCTCTTACTGGTAGAATGTCGTGATTGATACAACTCTGCAGAAATTAGGGCCAATATCTCACTCGTCTGCAGTGAAAGTCAATAGATTTTGTTTTCAAGGTCAGACTTTCGATAGATAAAGATTAGGCTGCAATAGATGAAGAATTGTGTCAGATTGGATGCATGAAAGTACATTCAAAATAATAAACCTGACTTTTCTATTTTTTTGCTAGTGGTTGAAATAACTGTTTATTCCTTTATTATGAGCAGTGGCTTCAGTATATCCAACAGGTTTTTAAGAAAAGCTTAAAGTAAACCACCTTCCTCTCCAAGAAAAACCTTTCTAATTTGGAAGCAGTTAATAATACCAAATATTTTTCCAATTTGTTGTGAGAAAGGTTATTAACAAAGCGTAACCTGAATTCATTTACTGGTAGAATAAAATGTCTTCTATCCCATAGCTCGCTATGTCATGTGTAGGAGAACATTCATTGTAAGATGTCTGTTGTGTTTGTTTATGTATACGTATATATGTATTTATACATGTGTCTACACATGCATATATGTATTTACGTGTGTGTGTGTGTGTATATATATGTATATTTTTAAAAACTAGAATTTATTAGACTGTGACTAAAAACTGTTGTCTTACGCTGGCATAAAACTGCATACGCAGTTATGCGGTTCCACAGTTCTCTACCAAGTTAATACTATGAAGAAACTTAGAATAGTTGAACTCAAGCGCAGCCTGCTTCATCTAAATGTTTGCGGAGTACGCGTGCTCTTGAATTAGCCTGTCTCTCGTTGCTGAAGTACCTTAAAACAGGATTTACAGTCATAAGTAGCGTTCCCATTGTATTAATTCACAGCCATTGCTCCAGAGAGGTTGCAATCTAAAACAAAGGACAGCAGGTACCAATAGATCATTGATGAAGTACAAAAAACAAATAAGCAGTGCAATAGTGTTGTGTGATATGACACAGAATGATCTCAGTGTACTGCTGACTTAATAGTCATAAAAATATTTTATTGGCCCCTTTGCCTGAGATAATGTCTGAATTAAGTGATGTCTCATTTTCTCCAACTGCAGTGGTGAACCACTGAAAGAGACAGTTAAACTTGAGGATGGTCGAATTGGAGAGAGGCCAGAAATAGTTTATCATGTAATTCACACAATTTTACTTGGTTCTCTAGCGATGTGTTTGGAAGGGTAAGTCTAATTTTGATGTATCTCTTTTGAAACCAACAGAGACTTCCTAATTGGACATGATACACTATTCACCCCTTTGGAATTTGTCTACAATTCAAAAATCTTTTCAGAAATATATTTGGCATACAATGGTACTAGTTAGTAGGCGATATAACAAAGAGAATTTTGACTGTATAAATTGCATAGAGGAATATGATGAATTGTGTTACATTTCTCTAATGTATGCTCAAAGTATTTAGGTGGCCGAAATTGAGAAATTAATTGGATTGGAGCAAGTTTTAATCACTTTCCTTATGGTATCTAAGTTCAGAGTTTCACTGTCATTCTCTGACTATTGTAGTGTTCTAGTGAAATGTAGTCTTTTTGAGGAGCAGTATATGTTCTCTAATATTGAAATGCGAAAGATTTCTTATCCATCTCCCTGTGTATATCTAAGCTAGCATGAGGTATGCTTTTGCTTGACGTGTTAAAGCAGGAGCAAAGCAGTTTTAAAAGGTATTGTGGCTATTAGTCCTTAAATGTTTGATATTGTTCTAATCTCATCGCTCAGCTAAGTCAACTTGGAGGCGGCAGAGTTGTGTTTGCATTACACTCATCATCCTAATATCTGAATATTCACAATTCTTACAGTGAGCACACTGTCGTATTAACTGGCAACTACCAGGTAGTTGTCTAACTTGACTGGTCTATGCTCAAGAGGCAGACAATAGCAGTCAGTAGTAAATTGTTTATAAAATATTGCCCTTTCCTTTCTTCAGAAGCTCCCTTATAGTACAGTGAGTGCCTATACAGCTTTGCTGAATAGTTGCTTTTTATCCTTCCTTGGCTGGAAAAGTGCAACAGCCAAGTGACTTTACTAGTCTATTAGTTTTCTGGTTGGATGGTTTTTTCCCGCCTTCTCTAAACTCTGTGAAAGATGATGTCGTCTTTGACCTGGAATCTTGTTCCTACCTCTAGCAGTGGATAATCAGGTGCCTGCTCTTCTGCTGGCAATTTCCTTGGTTTTCCTTCCAGTCTTACCAAGTATGGTCACAGATTGCTTTGCATATCCAGACTGTCTTTGACACGTGAAAATAAATCTGAATGTTTTTATAAGTAGCCTGAGTACAGTGACATGTGCAGAGTCTCAACTAAGATCTTGCAATGTTTTTCAGAATGAAATATCTGTGGACTCCTTATGTTTGCATGCTTGCTGCATTTGGTGTGTGCTCTCCAGAACTTTGGATGACGCTTTTCAAGTGGCTTCGACTGAAAGCTGTACACCCGATACTGCTGGTGAGTCACTGTTGCCAGTGCCTTGAGCAAGCACATCCTTTTCAAACAACAATTACTACATTACCTAGAGAAACACCCGGTGGAAGAACAAGTAGTTCTGTGAGTGGTAGAGCTCCTGTAGCCTGTTTTTCTGTATCTTTCATTCCTAATATCACTCTTCTACGTCTTCTCTGGTATTTGATGATAAAGTTGTGTTCACACTACCGCCTTTTCCTCTGTGAGGAGCAGAACTGTCTGTGTCTGTCTTGCTTTTGCTGATCTGCCTATTTTATAGGAACATATCTTTGAGACCTCAAGCCGTCTGTCATATTCAGTTGAGATTGGCCAAGAAGGTCAAATGCTTCTGCGCAAGTGCAGAAGAAAGGGTGCTGACATGCAGGCAAGCATGGGCATGAGCCTCGTTTCACTAGGAAATGATACTGAAAATGAGGCAGCTAGGTGATTTTGATTGCTGAGAGTGAAACGGCTTGAGAAGAAATGGTGATTAGAATTGTTTGTATAAGATTTATTCCTGTGTGGCCATTTCAGAGATGCTGTGTGGCTGAAGTTGAGCTTGTGCTGTAGTGCCCGACTCCCTTGCTTGTAACCCTAGTTTTACTCCTAATGTGCTGAGTGGCTTTAGGCAAATTCTGTCAGCTTTCTGCGTTTGTTTTATTAACCAATAAAATGAGGGTAGGGTGTTATTTACCTTATTTGCTGTCATTTGCTATGAAAACGTCAAGTACTCTTAAGTCATAAATATTGATAGTGTTCTTCCAATCAAGAAGTAACAATGTGTTCTGTAGGTACTAACCTACAGATTCACTTTTATACATGGCACGCTTTCTGCTGTAGAGACCTGCTTTTTTTATACAAGAGGTTGGTTCATAGTTTATTATCAAGAGAATGTCTTGTGTGCACTCCTTACCAAAAGCTTCCTGCACCACAGGGGCTGTTTTCCCCTTTTTGCAAAGGGGAAATGATATCAGCTAGAGTGATGGTGTGCTAAAGAATGGGATTTTTTTTTTTGCATGTCCCTATCGTTAATCTGAACGAAAGCATCAATAAGATCAGAGACTTGAAATGCTTGCTTCTTTCTTTTCTTTTTCCTCCCTCAAATCCTCTCATTGCATTTGTATGACAGGTGTTCACTTTTCTTCTGCTCCCTCCTTCGTGTGCACATTGAGTTATTGTTATCTGAGCAGTAATTTACCACGCCTGATACTGGTGGTAAAGTTATCACAGGTCAAATCAGATCTACCATGCTAAATTAGGCAACTTGTTTGCAGAGAGTTTTGCCTGGCAGAGAACTGCAAAGTTTCACCTACTGTCACTCTAAGGTGTCAGATATAAATGTAGCCTCCTGCATGAACAGAATCAACAACACTCCAGGTTAGGGAATGGAGAAACAATCCATAATCCATTTCTTCTAACGTGTATTTTCTAGGCTCTCATTCTAAGTATGGCAGTTCCCACAATAATTGGATTCAGCTTGTGGAAAGAGGTGAGGAAAAATGCCTTTTTGTGTTATGTTTTGTCTGTAGGCACAAAAGGAATCATAATGGTGAACAAATATAATGCTAAGATGAAATAAAAGCTTGTATGCTCTTGGAAAATAAAACCTAGATTACTAAAAAGTATGCTGTCCCAATCTTGTTTTCAATGAGAGTGAGTGAGGTAGATGGCAGTAAGATTATGGGAGGCCCATAGGCAAATACTCTACTTGAAAAGCTTCCATTAAATTATAATGGAATTAAATTTTTCATGCAGAGCACTGTGTAGAGATATTTAAATACTACAATACAGAGAAGAAAAGCTACCGATGTTTCCTTGCAATAAGGAACTAAATATTTATTTTGAGCAAGTCATAGACAGACTGGAGAAAAAAAGATACATTATTGGGAAATTATTTTGCTTTAACTGCTTGAAGTTTAAACATGGAAAACCTGTAGAACTGCACTATACTGACGTAACCTCAACATAGTTAAATAGTTTTTAAAGAATTTAAATAAGTTTAAATTTTTAATTAAGCATTCCAATATCAAAGCCAGTCTTTACCAACAGTATTTTAACAGATTTTGTGACATCTTATAATAGAATTTTTGATTACAATATAATCTGACTGTTTACATGTTTCTGACAGAGCAATAGATGTTCTCCTGGGGGAGGGGGGGAAAAAAAAAGCTGCAGTTGCTCAAAAGTGTTATGAAATCCACTGCAGTAGCGAAAACTAGTTTAGTTGCCCAAGGAACGTATAGTTTTCTAAGAAATGCAATGAGATGGTTTTGACTCTAGAGGGCTCCATCCATTGCAAATGTAGTTTTTGCTTTAAAGTGATGATGAACAGTCTGCTTTCTCAGCTCATAACTCACCCCTGAGCGTGGAGTATCTTTAATAATAATGGGACACTGCAAATGCATTGACGATCTTAATCTGTGGCTATAAAGGGCTGAGATAGCTCAGCATCTTTCTGCTCGGCTGTCTTCTGACTCAATCTGGCGTAGTCCTTGACCTAGCTAGGTTTGCTAAGGGCTTTCATTCATAACTGAAGCTGTTTTTTCCTTAAGGTGGCAGTAGCGATTCCTCTTTCTGCCTGTCTTCAGTTCCTAGAACAGGTCAGGTCCATGTATAGCAGCTCCTGAACTGCTACAGCTTTCAGCCCTGCATGTGAATATGTGGCAACAGTTCTTGGCCTACCTTAATGTGCCTGATTGTAGACTGCAGTCATTTGACAGCTGAACTGTCCCTGCAGTGAGGGTGGAAACTTCTCAGTGACAAGCAGGCTCCCTTTTCCAGCTGTCTATGCACTATGGCTGTTCCAAAGTAAGCTATCCCTTTAGTATGGCATAGTTTTAACTTGTAAACTTTATCCTTTTCACAGCTGGCAACCAGTAGCTTTCAGTTAGCATTTGCAAGAGCGTGTACACACTCCAGCTCCTCTAGGACGGCCAGCACCTAGCTACACCTTCTGCAGATAAACAGTCAAAAAGGCTCTGGGTCTGACAGAATCTCCTGTGTTAGTAAAGGACCTGTTGTTCTTCCACCACCGAAACCTAACAGGATAGGGAAGCCCTAGCGCATGCTTGCAATCTGGGCTCCTCTCTAGGAGGTGGCATTTTGTCTATATTCTCAGAATCTAGCACATGTATTGTGCTTTCCAACATTGGAAGTGAATGAAGTAAAAGGCAGAGGGAAGCCCAGGGCGGTTTACCCACATAATACTTTTCTAGATTTTTTTTTTTTTCCTCCTTTTCTGTTTCTTCAGCACCTTTCCACCAAGTCACAACAGCCCAAGGGACTCCCAATTAATTTCATACTCATTTATTTTAGTGTGATCTTATATTATGACCAATCAGAGCATCAATAAGCTGATTTTGGAACTAGCCATCCATTCCACAAGAGAAGATTTGTCAGCTTCTTCATTCAGTGCCCTCATTTACATACATTTGCAGTGATCATCTGAAGTATATTTTTGGTGCGTTTAAGGCCAGTTAAAGTTGGTGAATGTTGTTGCCACATAGGTTTTTGATTGTAAGATGAGAACTTTTTTTTTTTTAAACTTTTATTGACTTAGGAGAAGGTCTGCAGGTAACCAATCAAGATAAGCAACTGTCAGATAAGCAAAAAAAAATATTTCGCAAAATATTCAAACAAAAATACTGCTTAGGAGAGAACACTCAAATGAATCTCTGTACATTTCTTTGGTATTATTTAAGGCCTTAACGTTATGAGATAGCCCATGGATTTGCAACTGTAAGTAACCGGATGTGTGTGTCCTTCAGTTTTTCCCTAGGATAATGACAGAGCTTTCAGAACTACAAGAATTCTATGATCCTGATACAGTAGAACTCATGACATGGATAAAGTAAGTATGAAGTACTACATTTCTGTGTTACTTCTTTAAGTCAGGGTATTTTTTTGTCTCAGCATTTTGTGGAAGTACCTCTATTAATCTGAATTTCTCCTTGTTAAGATATGTGATTTAGAGAGAGATGGGAAATGTGTATTTTAAGTTTGGCAGCACTCCCATGGAATATAACAGGAATTTATCATTGATTACAAGAAAAGAAGATCCTGAAACATGCAAGCAAGTCATATTTAATGTCATTACCAGACCTAATTTCCAAATGTAGGTAAATATTGTGATACTTGGAAACAAAGGTTAATACCATAATACTTAGTTCTTCACGTGCCAGCTTTTATTAGATTAGAGGATGCTTTGGTCATAATGCTGCAGGGAATAGAAACACTGAAGTTTTTCTGTGCATGGGCTGCATTTGCCAGTATCCTGCAGAATGGAACAGTTAAATGCAAGGTTTTTAAGACTTCAGTCGAGAAACACAGAGTATAGCATGTATGATTCAACTTTCTCCTTTTACCAGGAGGCTGCAGGTGTTCTTATGTGGCTGCCTAGGCAGGGCATAGCAAATACTGAGCACATAGGTTATTTTCACAAATATATTTACTTCTCCTCACAACAAATTTCGGAACTCCATTCTGGCCTCAGTCGATCTATCTTTGATCTACTTCACTAGGGACTGCACTTTTGTGAAGATCAGATACCCTGTGTTCAAATAGTTTACCTGCCTTTAACGGCTTTTTTTTTTTTTTTTTAAGAATATTATTTTCTGTATTTATGGAGTCTTTAATGTCAACCTGTTCATCTTCAGAAAAGACAAGGCTGGTAATTATGGTGTTCCAGCCAGTTTCTTCTTCCTGTTAATAGTGGTGTATGTTATTTGTCACTGCTGTAGCTCTTCAAGGCAGCAAGTGGAATAATGCCAAGTACCTAATGGCTTTTACATTAGTCTGCATATATTACACTTCAAGTACATAATTAATTGTGGTGAATTGCATTGAGTTTCACTCAGCTAAGAGCAATTTGACTGCCCTTATTATTGTAGCAGCTGTTTGTATTTTTAACGAAAATAAGAGTTTGGGGTTTTGGGGGGTGTGTGTGTTTGTTCGTTTTAGGATATACTTAGATATCCATATTGCAATTTTAATTGAATGTCATTAGTATATTTTCATATTTTCTCTCAGATAAAATGAATTTATTTTGAATTTTCTCTGCAAAAAAAAGTTGCAAAGGTCTGCAGTAGTGTGACAATAGCTGTTTTCTTTTACTAAAGCAGGACACTGAATAATCAAAAGATGAAATCAAAACCCAGAAACATACTTACTGTAAATGTTATTCTGTATCGTGACACTGTTTACTCATGGACAATGAAATACATGGTCGTAAGATCAAATGTAAATGAAAGATTTATGATCATTTTCAAGATAACATCATGCTGTTTCTCCTCCTACCTACCCTCTCTCCCAAGCTGATTTTGGCATAAGACAGCAACCACTCAGAAAACCAGTAGTGCGATCCATTCCAGGACAACTCTGAATGCCGCTCCATGGCTTACAAAAGCGGAGGAGAATGGCCATCAGCCCTTGCCTGGTGGGAGGCCTTCCTTGAAGACTCCATATTGCTGCAGTTCTGTGCTTCTCTGGCAAGGAGGTTATTGCCCCTGCAGTATTAAGGCCATTTGCGATTAGACCCCCAGTGATATCTTCATGAACTCCAGTTCTTGCCATAGCACCACAGAAGATTCACACAGTGTTTTGAAATAAAAATCATTATTTTGGGAAATGCATCCTGTACTCAAATGTGTATATTGATGTTGCTTTTGCAGAAGACAGGCTCCTGTGGCTGCTGTGTTTGCAGGCAGTCCACAGTTAATGGGTGTGATTAAGCTTTGTACTGGATGGATGGTGTCAAGCCTGCCTTTATATAATGATGATGATCTCCTAAAAAGAAATGAAAACGTGAGTATCCAATTCCATAAACATGTGTTATTGGTGATTTGTAGACTGTTCCATCACGTAGAACCGACATGCTTGATTGAAATGTTTGGGAGTACTGTAAATGTTACGTGTTCCAGAGAAGACGACCTCGTACTATTCCTCATGGCATACATGTTTCCATTGCCCTTGCGTGCTCCCTAGGCACCTGGCAATGCAAGTTATTTGTTTGTGCAGCTCCCACTACGTGCTAGTGGGATTCCAAACACTATCTGTTCTCTGAGATGTTTACAGTCTTAAGGTGAGAAAAAAATGCAAAGCCTCGTGAAGAAAGGTAACAGCAATACCTGAATCTGCAAACCCAGGAACTACGTTCCTGAATGAGCAACATGATAGTATTGGGTTTTAGGAAGGCTGTTGTTTCTGAATGATTTTTGAGCAATTCTAATTCTGCGTATTTTGCCAGGGAGAAAGTCACAAAGTGGAAAGGACTCGCCCAGTGACAGCCTAGCAAAGAAATCAAAATCAGAACTCTACATTAGTTCTCACTCTCTGTTTGAATACTCCAGAATTAAAGTAGGGAAATGGAAATCTTTAGAAACACACCTGACTTGGAAAGCATCTCATAGGAACTGTCTTCCTTTTCACCCACTGTAATTGGGAAAAATTAAATATAATGGAGGGAAGGAGGACATGATAGTTCCTTCCCTAGTTGCCCTCCCAAGTAGATTATCAGTGCTTCACTCTTACCAAAATACTTATGCTGAAGATTTTCAGGCCACTTAAAAAGCCCACTGAGCTCTCCGTAACCTCACATTTCATAGATGTCAAAAATAAATATCACTTAATAGGTTGGTGTGTACATATCAGTTGTGATTACAGATAAGTTCCCCTGCCCAAAGTATTTAATTTTATACTAATTTTTACCTTGCATTAAATGTTTTCCTGATCTATAGATTTATCAGATCTATTCAAAGAGGTCAGCAGAGGATATTTATAAGATACTCACATCTTACAAAGCCAATTTTTTGATTATTGAAGATTCAATTTGCAATGAAGTGGGACCTATAAGAGGATGTAGAGTTAAAGACCTATTGGATATTGCTAACGGCCATGTAAGTAACAGCTAGATAAAGTTCAATGTTTGAATGAATAAATGATTCATTTTAAAATAAATATTCTTGTAATGCTGATTTTTATTTTTCTAATTATAACGTGTAAACAAAGACTGGTAATGTTAAAAGTGATTAAGTTCTGTTGTAAGTTTCTTATACACCTGTAATCACATCCCATATTGTTATTTAATTGTCCTAATCCTTCCTAGTGCGTCAGCATCTAGCAGTGCTGATCCTCTACCAGTTGTTAAATGCCGTTTAACTGTATATAATACCTGAAAAGTCTATTACGGACACAATAAAGCCCTGCCTCAGAGTATCCTTTACTAGCCTTAAGGATGTGCTTTTAAAATGTATGAACTGAAATATTCTTAAGTGGCGCATAGCTTTTAAAAAAAAAAAAAAAGGGGGGGGGTATGCCAGGCAAGTCTATGTGCTCTGTGACCTTGTTCTTCTTGCATCAGCTGGTGAGCTATATTATGATTTCTTCTGTCCGGTTGATAAATGTGGACACTCATCCAAATTGCAGCAAGTTAAGACATTATTTCCTATTAGCAGAGTTGCTGTACCTGCTCATGTGCAGGTTCGTACTCTGCTCCTCTAGCAAGGTAATGTCATTTATCTTAAACCTCAGCAAAAAATGAGATGCAGACAGACTCAGTTCTGTTAAAACTCTGTGTGATAGAATGCTGGGATGAGGACCAGCCTGCCATTCAACTCAAGGGGACCTATTTGGTACTGATCAGGCTACTTAGCCAGTCTCGCAGACAGGTCCCAGCTGATCATCTGAATCAGAGGTGGCAGCAAGGCTGGCTGGATAAACTAGAGCTGCAAGGATACCATCCATGAATGCTAGCAAAGACATTGCTGTACTGTGTCTATTCTGAATGATGACAGTGCTGCTCTTGCTGTTGAAGCAGGAAATGCAGTGGGGTTTGTAACACGATCTACCGCTTGTTCAGCTGCTACCTGGGGGTCCAGCTAAAACTTTGACTTTATGAAGGCAGGAAAGGCTGTAAACTCTCAACTCACTTGGGGTTTGGTTACTTATTCTCTGGTCAGTAGGGGAAAGGGGGTTACTAGTTATTTCTAAGTAATCATGGGTTAGCTTTATTTAGTTATTTATTTTCCCTCGTCAAGAAATTTAAGCATCTGTTTGATGTTACAGCTTGTTGTATCTATATCAAGTTCATCCTTGGTTTGAATGCTGCTTTTTTTTTTTTTTGAATGGAGGAGAATACATATAAAACCATCTATAGTCTTGTATTCCATTCTTGGGGAAAAATACGAGCTGTTAATAAATAGTCTGTGTTAGGTATCTTAGAAACTACTTATAATAATACAGCTTTCAAAAGAATTTGCAGTGCAAACATTTAATTTCTCCAGTTGCTTTCCTTTTGGGTGTGATTATAGGGGTGATATGTTTTTAGGGGATTGCTCTTAATTTGCTCAGGAATCTACATTTGGTATCAGTTTCACTTGCAGGTTTCCTGACCAATTTATCCATGGAGGCTATCGTGTATGTTTTCCTATTAGTTCCTTACCATTGCTGATATCTACTCGCTTCATTTCTCTGCCTCCCTGTTAAAACCGTGTATGCTGTGGTTATTCCTCGTTTTAATCAATATACGAGAAATAATCCAGTGTCTGTGTGTGAATAACCTCCACCATTGATATTCAAGATATGCAGACATGTTGTCTTACAGTTTCTTCTCACATCTGTTTTTGCATGAGTAAATTCAGGTCCTTCCTCCGTACTTACCGTGTCAACAGGAGCAGTTTACCACGATTTCTCTTCCTAATTTCAACAGCCCAGCTTTATTGTCAGTATTTAAATATTTTTGTTTTTTTCATCTATCAGATGCAGCTTCTTCCTCTTTTAATTTCTGACACTCAGTTATTCAGCAATTCATCCTATGGGACCCTCTCCTTGGTATTTTTCCTCTCTTTCATTTCAGAGCTGCTGTTGCTCGTAATGACCATTTCAATCAAAGGGGGAGAAAAAAGAATAAAATACAGTAGCCAGTGCAAGGAGCCTATCTTTGCCCCATAAGTGCCCCGCACAACCTTACCACTAAACAATAATAGTCACTTACTATCTACATATTGTTAGGATTGTCAAAGTTACAGGGGTTATCCAATTTATAGTGGAGAGGTTGACTATGCAGGGGAAAAGAAGCTTTATGCAAAGAGTTTCACTTAATTCTTTTATGCTCAATATCTATAATGTAAACCTGTTTTAAAAAAAAAAAAAACAGACAGTTTACACATTTAAACGTTGACAACTGAGTGTTCTGTATCTTTAGAAAAAAGTTCATGGCCTGGTGAAGCATCACCAATGCTTCCTATCTGTGGCTGAGTCCCTATTAGGTTGGACACTATAAGTGCTTGTTGTAGGAAAAAATTTTGGAAAGTCTGATAGGAATAAAGTAATTCTTTCAAAAAGTGACATGGTTTGTTCCAGAAAGTTGATGTAGCATGTTCTTATGGGAAGCTCTGAAACAAAGTGACAGACCTCTCAGTTTGTATATTAATAGAAGTTGTCTCAGTCACATTGAAAGATTACCAAGACTTTCCAAGCCAGTGAAGTTTGCATACGTAGTTTGAGACTGAAGCGTTTACTTATTCCTAAATTAAGTGGGAAAGTGGACAAGCTCTTTTGCTGTGCTATTGGTGGGTCTGTGAATGTGTTTTCCAAATTGTTTATGTTTAAGAAGAGAATATAAGTGTGGCTTACTAGCTTAGACTGTGGGTCCATCTAGTCCAGTATCCTGTTTCCAGCGCTGGCTGAGAGCATATGCTTTAGGAGGATTATAGACAGGGCAAACCAGCGGTGTTCCCCAGCAGTCTGTTGCTGAAGGACTTCCTTCCTCAGGGGGAAATGCCTTTGTGTTTGGTAGCTATTGATAGATTTTTCTTGTCTTGCCAGCCTTTTAAAACCCACGTAAACTTTTGCCATCAGAAAGAGGAGAGGAAAGGTAGTTGAGATTTTCCTTCGCTGCGCAGGTGGTATGCTATTTGAAGGTCAGGTTTGAAGTACTGGGTAAATGGAAGATGTGGATAATTTTGCATTGCTGTTCTTTGTTATATAAGTAAAGTGCACTAGTTTTACTATCTGCTATTCTGACAAAGGTATTAATTCATGAATGTTATTTTAGATGGTTTTAAAAATTATGGGGGAGTAAACTTTCAGCCTATTGGAATTGGGTAATTTAGAAATTAAATGTTTGAATTGTCAATGAAACTTACAGAATATAGAAATAAATGAAATGTACAGAATAACATTCTGTAATTATTCCTCTTAACTATTTTAATTAGATTTTGTTCTTTTCTGACAGGTGGTTTGTGAGGAAGGGGACAGTTATTCCTACTCAAAATATGGACGATTTTGTCATGAAATCAAAATGAACTATTCTCCATATGTGAATTATTTTACTCGGGTATACTGGAACAGATCCTACTTTGTATATAGGATCAACACTGTGATATCCTTCCAGTCGTGAAAAAGCATGCAAGCTTCTTTTTGAAGATAGATTATGAATGGAATTCAGTTGGAAAAGTTCCTTTTGATCAAGGAAAATATTTTTCCAGATACAGGTGGGCAGATACAGTATACTGACAACTTTAAACCAAACTGGAACTATGTGAACTACAGATCAACAGAAAGAAATACCATTCTTGAAAGGCACAGGAAAACTTGTCAATTTTACGATCGCTACAACGTGTGACGGTCTTCCATGTTCTGGCATTTGTCTTCCCATTATAAATCATCTTAATCTTTGTGTAGAGGAGATTTCTAGCATTAATGTTAAATCATTTAAAGAGACTCTATGTGGATAGACTTCAGTAAATGCAGAAAAGTTATGTTAAAGACCTCATTTAAAGTCATACAGCTTTTATTTTCTAGCAAAAAAAGTAATCTATATCCCAAGTAAGAGTCTTTTCAAATAAGTGTTTGGCTTTTTAATTTTTTTGTTTTAATTCTTCCTATCTTCCACTATAAACATTGTTATGTTTATCAAACATTCATACATCTTATGTGTAGGTATAGTATTTGTATAAAACAAATCAGGAAGATTTTATTTAAACAACGGTCCCATAGATTAAGGCACTGATCTCCACCTTGTTGGAGGCGTGTTGGTGGAAGCACTTGGACTTAGACTTAGCTGCAGGAGTTGACAAGATCAGATCTTCAGTTTGGAAAGAACGTGTCTGTAGGATTTCTCCATTACTTATATGTTTCTACGTATATACATATGTGTGTCTTAGCAGACATCAGAATGGGCCAGTATACCATACGTGTATTTAGACAAGCGTTGCAGGACAACTAGGTTTGCTACTGAGACTTCTGTACTTCTCTTTGACCCCCTCTGTGTGTGCATGTGTGTGTGTATGGGTGTGTGTCCGGGGAGCAATGGGTGACGCTCATTTCATTCAACTTACGATGTGATAGTCATATTAAGATTGTGCCATAACTTTGATTTTAAACGCTGTAATCGCCACCATTAAGAATTAATGGCAAAATAGTTCATAGCTATTTTTTAATCAATTGTATAATTACACTTGGATCTTTCAAAATGTTGGAAAGTACTCTGCAATCTTCCCTCCAAAATTGTTGTCTTCCTTATATGACCGCCTTTGCCCCGCAGCTAATTTGCTTAACAAATTATCTGTTCATCCTGTTTGTTTTGTTGCTAGCTGGTGTACTTTTAAGAGAATGAATACTGCATTAATACTCCAACTTTGGGCCTAATCCTGGTGGTGTGAATGGAAAACCCAACAAAAGGTAACGTTCGCTTTGCTTAGATAGGTGTAGCTGGCCAAAAAGTGAGGACTTAAGTTTTGGAAGAGGTAATTCACCAGACGGGAGTTACCTGCACTTGTGGATTCTTGTAGCACCTGGCCTAGGGACCAGTCCCATCAGCCATGTGGGAATGGGTCTTTGGATCCCAGATGTCTTTAATGAAACATCTAGCATAATAGGATGAACTTTCTGATGAAAATATCCCAACTATTCTGTAAACGAAAGCTGCAAAACTATTCGCACTGCATTTGTTGGTAAATGCATATTCAGAGGTTTTAACTCTGGAATTACTAGGAACTGCAACATGCTGGTGTACATGTATGGTTCCTATCTGCTCTATGCACATATGTTTACTTACTTTACGCTAAAAGGTAGTGCTGAGTTTTGTTTTGTTTTTATTAATCTGTTATCACTATTGGAATGATTCAAAAGAAAAAAAAGCTTTACTGTTGTAAACGTCAACATGTCTGTAATCTGTTTTTCACTTATATCTTTAAGTCTATGAGTCTTGACAAAATGTTAAATTATCCATTTTATTTGAAACCATTGTTCAGACAAATCCATCAAAAAATACTGGATGTGATCATTGAGAGAAACATTAGTGTAACTGAGTTACAAGTTCAAGTAAGCATTCTTCCTGGGAATACAGTCACTGTGTTGATGCTAGTGTGTATGCTTGTCCAAATGTAGTCTGCATTTATCTGTTTATGCACAAGTGCATATGTTTGACTGCACTGGACTGTTTCAGACTTTTCTATTACAGCGCACCAACAAAAGCTACTGTATCAACTTGAGCTGTGGCAGGCATGCAGGAACCTTCTCTGTATGTGCTACTATGGTTGTAGATTTATTTAATGTTTTGCAGTAAGTTTGGTGTTCCATATATAACTTAAGTGTGTTTGAATCACTGTCCAGAATTACACATCTGTGTGTCAGTCGTTCACTCGCCTGACGTTACTCATTCATGAATACCGTTTCATAACAGCAATAAGGCATTCCAGGTAGCAAATGTCAGGGTTACAATTGCACTTGGGTGGCTGAAGTCACTTAGCTTATGGCTTCATGCCTTATAACGCCATACCAAGGTGCAATATTTAACTATCCTAGACTGCCTGTTGTGTTTTAATGCAGTGCTGTATGTATATGGTACCACAGAGAACATAGTTTGAATACGTACATGTAGAGCACATACGTGGAGAAAAATACAAACAAGGCCATCCACACACCTAAAGATAAGTGTCTCGTAGCACATTGGCCTTTATACATGTTTGAACAAACATGTGTTGAACCTAATTTGAACTGTGACATAGTTACTGTTATTAGTTTTGTCATAGTTTCTAAGATGTATTCTTGATACTTCAATTGATTCTGCTTTAGGAGAATCGGTTAAGGTTTTTACCTTGCTTTTTATATTAGAGAAAAATTGTATTGCAGCAGCATTGGCACAGCAGCCTTAAGTAACAGAGAAGGAGTCTTGTATCTGGGAGAAACAAAGCTGTTGTTGTCCCAGTGAGAAGGCAGCATTTTTTTTAAACAAATGACTGGAAGAATCATATCTTACAAAGAAAATTATAAACTTGAACTGCTTATCCAGTTACGGAGTAGCAAAAATAATACTGTATATTCCAATTTCCACATTCTGTGAAAAAGGAAAAATAAGTTCCATGATACCCCTCAGAAGGATAAGAATAAGGCATAATTACATCTGGCGTATTAGTACAACCCTAGCTTGTTTTTCAACACAGGTCACAAGTCTAACTTCCTGAAAGAGTTACGGGAATGGTTTGCAAATTTTGATCTGTTTTGCTGTAGATGTTGCAATTCAGTTGAAACATGTGCCTTGCAAGCTTTTATTAAACAAACAAAAAACTCAAATTGTGTTTCTTTTTGTGAAGATGTTTTTTTAAAAATTCCCATCCCTCTAATTGCTAGAGCTCCAGTTGTGTCTTAATACCGTTGCCTCCAAAGATGCTCAATGTACTAAAATGGTGCAGCTAGGATGTATGCCAACCATCTTATTAACAGCTGTTCACCGGGAAAAAGGAGAATTTGCATAGCAATTTTTATTGCTGTTGTGCTGGTTTACTTCCTCCTTCACACTTTCAACTTCTTATATACTTGGCTTCATAAATGCAAACAATTACCTTGAAAGAATAAAATGCATATAGTATTTTCAGGCACTCATCTGTCACCATTAGAGCTGTGAATTCAAGTTGTATCAAGTCACAGTTAGACTGACAGTTTTCTTTCATCTTTTAAAGATACTCTCTCAGTTCCTGAATTACCACATACTTGAACTCAGTTGGTAGATTTTCCAGAAGGTATTTGAGACTAATTAAGTAAAGGCATTTCAGAACATAAGGCATTCTGTTCATATTATTATACAAATACTGTTTTCACTTCTTCCAAACTAAATACAAATTTTAAAGTTAAGTACAATTTCCTTTTCTGGGGGGCACACAGATACCCGAAGAAGGGATGGAGGTTTAACAGGCATTGAAAACTCTTCAAGCTATTTGTTCTGGTTGCATTACTGTTTACTGAAAGATAGGCGATTAGGGACCAAATTTTGTGCTTGCCGCCTTATTTCTGTAAGCCATCTCCAAGGGTCCAAATCTTGTGACCCTTCATCAGCTTTCCCATGCAACTAACAAGAATAAGAGCTGTAAGATCAGGTCCTAGGGTTTATAAACTGTCATGGAAACACTTGTTAATGACTATTGTTAACCTTGTATAACCTATGCTTTAACAAAAAATTAACAGGAGAAGGTGTACGCTGTCTGTGTGTATGTGTGGGCATGCCTGTTGTATTTGTATTTCGAGATGTCTGTTTTACTATTGTGTTTTGGAGAATTGAATGAGTAGCATCTATTACTGCTAATGGTGGTTAGATCTGTACCCGTGTGCATCCCTCCCCCCCCCCCCCCCCCCCCCCAAAAAAAATAAAATTTACAGGCAGATGTATTCTGGAGCATCGTGGTATTAAAGATGGAGCAAAAACTGAGTTTATTGCAATACAAGCAATATTTCATGTGAAATAATACCTCAGCATAAATCTGTTTGATCATGTCTTTAGTACTTGTTTTAAAACTAAACTTTAGAGAGAAAACAAAGTGAAAGTCCTCAAACATGCAGTGCATGTTTATTTCGTAATCATTTCTACTTTATCAGTACTGCCACAATAAGATATCACCATTAAGTTGTTGCATTCTTTAAAATTTCCTACTTAAGCCAAATATAAGGCTAGCTATGCCTAAAACTTTTCTGAATTGCTTGGTACCTCAACCAGATGTTTAAATGTGTGATTAGATCTGGCAGTGTTTTAGATTGCAGCGCAATTAAATGTATGTAATTCTGCCTTTCAGGTGAGGAGTGTATGTTTAAGGTTATCTATTTATTGGATGGAAAAGAGGTGGGTGTTTAATACCCTATAAAAAGTTTCAATCTTTGTACTTTAGCAATGTACAAGTATTACTGGTAATGCTTTGCTTGTTACTGGTGATGTTTAGTAGTAGCATATATGGCATATGAACATATTTATGTGCAGGTATTTAACAGATCTGAGGAATTCAATTCTTTATGTCCTGTTTGTTGTCTTGGACAGTTTTTTAATCAAAACAGTGTATACATGGTAAATATTTTTCTCTTGTGATAAACTTTTTCTGTGCAAAAAATAAATAAATAAAAGCCACGTCCAAAAAGTATTGATCGTTTGGGACACAAACCGTTTTACGCTTTCTTTTGGGAACCCTGATATCCTTTCAGGGAAAAAAAACTTTTAAGTCAAAATAAATTAACCTCTTCCCTCTGTCTCAGTAACAAAATACTTTTGTACTCTATTGTATTATTTGCATATGCAATTTTCAGTCAAGGCTATGCAGCATGTCTCGAATCTGTCTTCATTGGGCAGAATAAATACCCTGAAAGCTCTTGAGGATTAGGCAGCCTATTCATACTGAATCTATATGTCATGCTGACTTCGACTGCCTATTGAGACTGATACTGGTATGAAGATGAGCAGCAAAATAAGAGGTGCTTCATGTAAAATTATAAAAGTTTAATTTTCTTCCTAATGATCTTCCTACAACAAGCATGCCCAGTGGAAATAAATTGCTATGCAATATCAAATGCTTAACTTTTTTTTTTAATCAGCTAATGTACTGTCTGTGTTAAGTTTCAGAACTTTTACAGATAATGATTACTGATTATATTGGAGCCCTTTTGTAAGACAGAAGGGGTGACAGAGGAAGGGGGGTGAGATCTTTGAATACAGACTGTTTTATTATAACTTAACAGAAAGTAAGGTGAGAACGTTGAGATTAATTTAGCTGAAATTTCTGAAGATGATAGAAATGTCTGATGGAATGTTTCTTGAAAAAAAGATCGCATAGCAGATGCAAAGTATGTATTTAAATCTTTAGTTCTTAATGGTTCGGTGTTTGAATAGTACATCAAAATGCTTTCCTTTGGTCCACTCAGGAAACTAACTTAATTTTGGAAAGATGAAATGCACTGACATTGAAGTATTCAATTTCATCCGTGAATTCTTCAAGCACCCTAGACCTTGTAATTACTTAGCTGAAGTGGGAAACGGAGCTTCCTGGCACCATGAAATATATGCTGGTGTTTGCATACACTTGCATGGCTTTATCCAAAACTGAGACCTGCTGTGAGATACAGAATTTTGTATTCTTATGTACCAATCAGTGCTTGAGAGATGTTAGGTAAAATTACAGATTCTTTTTTTTTTTTTCTTTTTTCCCTAAATGCAAGTTCTGTAATTTATCTCTAGGAAATAGTTTCTTAGATCTTTCAAGTTTGGAAGTCTGACCCAGACTAGTTTACTTCAGCTCCTGTATGCTTTCATATTACTTAGGTAACAAAGGGGTAGGTGTTTCTGTAATACTAATGAGATGCATCTCATTATGAAATTAAAGGCAAATACAGAGAATGCAGATATAAAGCAACACAGAATACTAAACTACTCTGTAGCTTATAACACACCACAATATATATGTTCACCTATGGAATTTTTGAACAGCTTAAGAATGTCTTGGAATTCCCTCTTGTTTCAAAGTTTTGACTCTGAGGTCGGCTGTCAAGCCTTGACCCCTGGTACTATATTGACTTGTTATAGAAGGGCCAAAAATATGCTAAGACTGCCTTTTTGCTAGGCAGTTGCAATAAAGACAGGCAGATTCCCTAAGAAGGAGGTGTGTAAAATTATGCCCTAAACCATTCTGCTTCTGAAGAAAGGTTGACAAAGGACTGACAAGAATGTAACCAGCTTCTCTTTGCTGCACAATAGGAGGCCGTTTGTTAGACTTTTAACATAGAAACTATGGTGTCCCTGGACTAGTTGCTAGATACTGGAAAAGAGCACATGATTACCTTATGATCTGGTTTTCTTGGTTGATCTAACTTGAAGTTTGTTACGCAGTACAACATTGTATTGTTATTTCTGCAGACGTGCTTGACTCATATACATAATTGTAGAAAGGAACATCAAAATCCAGTCTTTTCATTTAATCATGAAAACTTCTCATTTCTAAAACATGCACGTTCTAATAGTGTAACTTGCATTTCCACTTTAGTAACACCTGGATAAACGTCTAGTAACTACTCCATAGGTCTTAACATTTGTTTGGCCCCCCCTTAGGACGATCTGCGATACAGTCTGAACTGCTGGCTGTATTCTAGGGACTCGTCCCGGCTGTGAGATCCAGTCAGAGGGAGGCTGTTAGGCCCGCTGCGCGTTGAGTGTCAGTGCAGCCATTCTTACAGGAAGCGGTTGCTGTTCACAATTCTCAACTCAGCAGGTAAGGTTTGCTAGAGAAGAGTCCTAAAAACAAGTTCCATCACGATCCTTTGGCTATAGAAGCTGGCAGCGTCATAAAAGCAGCCTAAAGAGCTTGTTAACTTCCCTTTGCTGCTTTTGTGTGTTGTTTCCTATCAGAGCCAAGAATTGCACTGTACGCGCTCAAGTTGCCTTTTTGGTATCAGCTTTTCTCTGATTTTTCACCTCAGTTTCACAGGAAGATTCAAATTCCTTTGGAAAATATGGCTACGCGGACAGAGCTATGCTATTTTCTTGGCAGTGTCCTGAAAAGGGAACGAGGTTACAACGGTCAGTCTTGTAGCATTTTTATAGATCAGGAGCTAAAAGACATTGCTGAAAACAGTAATATTTAATTCCTAGGTAGTGGAGAGAATAAGCATTAACTGCCTAATTTTGAAATAACTGTTTAGTATATGTATTTTTTAGTATTTTTTTTTCCCTCTGAACTGGGCAATATCTTTCCTACCTTTCTAAAATCTGTCAAGGTAGTCATACGTTAATGGGAGCAACGACAATATCCAACTACCCGGTTCTTATTCATTATGTGTTAAGGTCACACCAAAACTTCGGCATCGCCTTTGCCCTCCCAGACTGTACAGGTTTCTCTGCCCAGCCTCTCAGAAAGGGTGGGAAAAGGCAAGTTACATCAACCTTTTCACACACGTACAAAAAATCATAACATAATACATACACTTTGAGTGAATCTCTTCAGGCAACTTTATCACATTTCTCACCATGCTATCAGACCACGTCACGCAGGCCAAGAGCACTTCAATATATATGGCTGATGGTTAAGCTGTATTACTCAGTGTGACTTAAGAGCACTAGTTACCATTCCTTAAAGTGTTCAGCTGCCTATAGATCCCTGATGAGCATGTAGAGCCAACGTGAGCAGTGGAAAACTGTGCTGACTTCCCAAGTAGTTATTAGGCCGCAGTGTCACCCTCTGTTCCTGAAGAGCCCCAAACAGAAGTCTGCGCTCAGCTCCCCTAATCCCTGTCTGTTGAACTGAAGGTCCCCCTCCACTCCTTCATTCCAGGAGAAAAATGATTTTCATTGAAAAGACTGACTGAGAAATTTAGTCTTTTCATCAATACTTTAGTTTTTTCAAAACAATAATGCAGTTTGGTCCCTGTTTTGTAACAGGAAAAACCCTTTGAATAGCACATTATAATAACTTCTGCCATTTCAAAACACGTATTTAGTGTTTATATAACTGCCTGACATCAGTAAGAGCAATATTCCAGCCAGGCATTGCTGAGATTCAGTAACACAACTTTAGAGTTGGTAATCACAGTCAAATGCATCTCGTTTGTATTTGCATCTCTCTAAATTTTAGGGTAGCATGTGTGTCTACAATTATACTTTGTTTGTCATTGCACAGATTTTCTGCAGTTGGATGTTAAAAATAACACAATTGCGCTAGTAAATACCCAAGGTGGCAAGGTTGTCGCTGGTTTTGTTCTGTAATGGGTACAATAAATCCCGTCAATATTCATATATATGGGAATGGGAATGGGAATTCCCGTCAATGGGAATATATAGCAGAAGCCTAAATTTATGTCACCAAAATTGTGTTAGCAAACCTGTTAACAGGATATATGTTCACATACATGAGGGATTATTTATCTGAGTGCTATGAATAAAATCCAGCTCAGATCTTGACATCTTGTAGACAAAACTCTTATAAACGTGTGTACGAATATAAAGGAACAGAAAAAGGACTGAATCTTGCAACGTATGTTAGAACTGAGCACTTGGTTTTGAGTGGAATTCACTTGCTTTTTAAGAGTTTGTGCGACACCAGTAGGAAGCAACGCGTTTCAGAAGATGATGTGTTGCACTGTGTGTCATCACTGATCTAAACGTTTCCCCTGCTGAAGACTCATCCTGGGATCTAGGTGGCTGGCTCAAATTAAGCATCATACGCTTACGAGCTTTCTCTTGCCTTTATGAGGTAGGAAATTATTCATGTTTTATTTTATGTAGGGCACAAAGAGTAAAGGTAGCATATTTAAAGTCTGTTAAA